GAGGGATAATGCTTCAAGGGATGATTTATCAAGTGTCATATAAGAGTGGTTGTGTACGCACTGACATAGATCCTTTGGAAGCCGTGACTGTAGTTGCATGTCATGAACACTTTTAAGAAGCGCATAACTCTTTGCCTCTCCGCGTTTTCATCCCATGGACTGCGTATAGTTGCCGAACTCTTGTCTTTCATCTTCCGTCAGGGTGTCAGGGACGGCTGTACGTTGGCATACGTAGCGCTCAAAATCTACGAGGACACTTACCAGTTGACTCTCAACGTATCTTTTTAGGGTTTCTTTGGTAATAACTGTATGGCTGTGTCTCAGCGCTCTGCAGTAGTGGTTTGGATACCCGTTTCTCGCAGTGCAGTCCCGGCAAACCTGACCAGATCTTTGGCCTCCGCAAGTTTGGTTTTGAAACGCAGGTACCCATAACACCTGGCGAGAGTTTACCAAAAGCAAACATGTGTTTGCCAACTGGTCTTCTGAATACTGCCATGGCAGTTTTGAAACCCTAAAGCAGTCCAAAGCAGACAGTCTGGAGTACCTCGGAGCGAGGCCACTGTCGAATGAACAGAGTAAGGACGACACTTTATCCCGGATTGATGCTGCATGTCGGGTTTTTCTTAAACCTTAGAAAATGCCTATGGATACGACGCGACATCTTCATCTCCGCTAAGATTCGCGTGTACCGTGCATTTGCCCAGTCTGTCATTCTCTATGATTGTGAATGCTGGGCTGCGCACGTGGAGGACGAGCGAAAACTAGATGAACATATTCGTCACTGCTTGAGGACCATCCTCCGAGTGAAGTACATCGACTTTGTCTCAGATGAGACAGTCCGCACTCGCAGCTACAACGTCGCAAAGATATCTCAGGTCATTCAAGAAACGCGACTGAGGTGGCTTGGGCATGTCGTTCATCGTCCACCTCAGGAGCTCAGTGTTACTGCCCTCGATTCGGTACCCTTGCCCCATTGGAGGCGTCGAAGAGGGGGTCAACTCGAAACCGAACTTGACACAGTCCGTTAAGACATGAAATTGGTTCTTGCACCTTCGGTATTTTGTTTCCGTCGGTGGCCAAGAGAGTAGGTTAGACCGTCCAGATCTGCTGCTGCGGATCGTCACGTGTGGAGAGGCGGAGTTCGGAACATCATCGCGGCCGACCATATCAGACATGATCTCGGTCGCACCAAGCACAAGTACGGCCTGTTTGGTCCATCTGTTAATACGAGTCTGGGTGTGTTTCAGGAAAGCCAACATGCCAGTTGGTCGATTCGACGTTCGAGGACCAAGCGTGCAGAGTGAGCTGTTTCGTTTGTGTAGTGTGCCGACCTAGAATCCTTGCATCGTCGCAAATGCAGCCTCTGGTCGGTATGTCTGGCCACTTATTCCCTACAACGGTCCACGCGGAAAGTGCGCTAGATCAACACCTAGGCCAGACTAGGTTGCGTAATGTGTTAGCCAGGCTACTTGGCGTTCGCCCATCGCATATGAAATGTGGCACTTGTGGCGTGATGGCAGGCCTAGGTGCCGGCTCACGTCGCGCCAGCCTCTTGCTTCTTGCATCAGATGACTGACCGACTTTGACAGCGTACTGATGCATGGGAGAGGGGAGAAGGAGTGTGAGTTCGACTATGGGGAACCGGTCTTCGTGGCAATCTAGCGCTTTCCTAATATAAACCATCTTACGCACTTTAAAACTATCACGACGTGCTTAATGTTGTGGCTTGGAAGGCTGCTAACTGACGGGCTAGTCCGATCCTCCTCTCAGGACGGAGATTCGGGCCGCAATGACTCCTCAACATGGCCAGTTATCCTTATCCCTGATACATCTTAACAGTTTTTTCAGTTGACTGGCCCGGTCGGTGCATTAGTTTGAACAATGGTCGACAAAAAGTCGAGGAAGACCTCGAGTTTTCAATTGTGCGTTCCTTGTCCAGCACCGGACAACGCTTGAAAGGCAGAGAATCCAGTGTTGCCTTATGAAGAGCTATGAAGTTTCGCAATACCTGCAGCACCACTGGACAGCGAATGTAACATGCAAGTTAGAGTGACTCACAGTTCTAGTTGATCTACATTCCCTAGAATCTTTTCGAAGGCACGAGGCTTAGTAGACCAGAATGCATCAACTCGTAGGAGAATCGACCGGAAAACTAACGAAGTGGTCAAGTTATTTGAACCAGCGCGCATGAGATTAAGTTCGTCTGACACCACCAGACGTTTGCATCGATTTCACGGTTGTTGAATCCGCAGGCAGTCCATGTGCGGAACATGCCCACCCAATAAAGCCAACATATCTGGGGAATTCAGTAGCAGGGGGCGACGAAATTACGGGCCTGGCTCCAAAGACAAGGGTGGCCGCCGACTGAGCTCCACAGGCAACTGCCACATTCTCTCTGAACACAAAACTAGGTCCTCTAAAGTAGCGAGTTCGCCGGCAAGGAAGTATCAACAGAAAGGCAGTGTGTTTGCCGGATTTGGACTTTCACTGATTGCAGTGGAAGCATGATACATTGGGAGGACAAGTTTTAACAACTGCCTTGCACAGCATTGCATGTGGACAAAATCCGTAAATGTCCAGCACTTAGTTGGCTCGTCTGTTTGCCTTTAGTAACCTTGCCATATGCCATCTTGGACAACCGTTTGCCCACTGTTGAGGCAGCGATGACTTTCGAGGGCTGAATTGTCCGTTGTGCCTAATGAGAACCGCCGCTGTTCTGAAGGTGCCGTGGTGACTCCCAGATTATTTTCATACTGAGGGATCCTTCCCTTGCACTTGCTTTACTCTTTCCCACGCCTACTACATTCCTGTGACGGGACGATTGGAGATGAGCCTGAGTTCACCATAGACAATAGGATTGCTGACAACGGTGACTATTCTGGTAATAAAAGCTGGAAGACGTGCAAACTTATACCAACAAACCTATGGAGAAATATCCTTGGCTATTTAGGGCAGTCCTGTAGCGTTTCAGGACATTTCCTAATGACAGTTGCAATGGAGAGTCGTTTTTTCTTATGTGAAAGAAACAGGCGAATTGGTTGCCTTGAAGTCTAGGCTGACCAAGTTACTGGCATGTGCGCTCTTCTGAGTACGTGGAGGTGGAGGAAGTTTGTCCAAGTGTGGGTTGTGTGCAGTTACACAGAGAGGCCTTTTGTGGTTTACGCAGCGTTTCCCCCATTTTTGCAACTTGAGGACTCCTACCTCGCGGTCTACCGCGGCAGAGTGCCCCCAACTGCCTTGATACAATTAACTCAGCCATCTACATCTGGCCCAGAACCACTCTTGAATGATAAATCTTTGCAAAATCAATGGCTAAGGTGTACCGTTAGGTTTAACTTACTTGCCAGACTCAAAGCCAGACAAATGTCAAAGCGTCCGCTCAGTTATTGCCAGACAGAATCAGGTTACATGTTTGGAAGACGTTTCTGGATTTGATCTCGATTACTAATCCAGTGGCATTTTCTAGTCGCTAGTTTATAAATGACATTAACTCTGTGTTCTGAGTTTGACCACAGAAAGGTCAGTAAAAAGTTTGAATGAAACAATAGATGTTATATGCACCCATGCGTCCAAAACCCAACTCTCCCCCGAAATACTACGCGATCTTGCTGCTACTTTGCACCAAAAATGTTAAACTTCTCTTAAATGGGGAACTTTACAGACAAATTGACGGAGTCGCAATGGGTAGTCCACTCGGGCCAACCCTCGCCGTCGTTTTTATGAGTTACCTAGAAGAAAAGGTGTCATCAAAATTAAACATGACAAAATTATACAGGAGATACGTGGATGATATATTCACGATTGTTGACAACAAGGAAGACGCCTCCGACCTACTTTGTCTGATGAATATTTTGCATCCGAAAATCAAATTTACGATGGAAATGGAGCAGTTTAACAAGGTACCCTTCCTAGACGTCCTCATGTTTGGAGGGGATGATGGTTCAATAAGACGCTCCGTCTTCCATAAGATTACGTGAAAAGGGCAATACTTACATTTTAAAAGCTTTGCGCCAATACAATGGAAACGAAATCTAGTACATACTCTTTTTCAAAGAGCGAGAAATATTTGCTCCAGGGAGACCATAGATACAGAAAGTGCCCGCATCAAAGAAGCCTAAAATACACTATTATAAATCGTGGTTATCCTGCACGCTTCATTCAGAAGTACAGCAACCATTTACGGCCAAAGTTGACGGAACAGTCCGTTCCGAAGAAGCCAGTTATAATATGTCTACCTTTTAAGGGTGACAACGTCTCACACACAATCAAGCGACGCTTGCGTTGCACTATAGAAAGAACGTACAACGCAGCAGAGCTTATCTTCGTCAGTTCCACAAAAAGTCTTCCAATTAACCGGGCAAAGGATGCCTTGCCAATGCACGCCACCCCAAATTGTGTGTATGAATTTACATGCACTTGCGGATGCAAGTACATTGGGCGAACGCAAAGGCAATTGGCAACCAGGGCCGCTGAGCATTTGCCTAATTGGCTTTTCAAACAGGAAAACAAAACCCCCGATTGTTTATAACGAAACACCTGTTAGATAGCGGTCATGTTGTCGACCCTAAAGCATCTTTTCGAGTACTTGTCCGAGCGCATACAACTCGAACCTTGCGTTATTTGGAAGCAGCTTACATACGGAGGGAGAAACCAGACCTGTGCAAGCAGTTAGATCACGTGATCGATCTGCAATTGCCCTGGTAATCTCACGCCTCAAGTTACTCCTGACTGTGAGTTGTTGTTAACATTTCGTCTCCCTCTTGCCTATATGATGCTTATGTGGACGTCTTATCTGATTATTCATTGCCTTGAACCTTGACCTTGCTCTTACGCACTGCCATTCTGTACAAATTCATACGGCTGTGCGCTTTCATTCGTTACCTATGTAATGCAGAGACGGGCTGCAGTTGAAAAGCCGTCACGAAATTTATTGGCTCCAATAAATTCTGCTCGTCATGCTTGGTTTCAATTCATACCCGGGAAAAAATGCTTCAAAAAGTTTATATTCTAAAAAAGTTTGTAAATTGGCCATTGTCTATTTCCAGTCGCCGGCTATTTGAATGCTGATGCAGCTTTCTTTTCAGGTATTCCAGACAAAGGAAGTCTACGCCAAGACTGTCCATACACTGAATCTCGGCCTTTTTCCCCAGCCTTTCCAGAATCTCCAACTACAATACATAGATAGTTAATAAAAAGCGCAGGTGATACTTCGTGTAAAACCTCCGGTTCACTGTCCATGTAAGCCCGTTCTTTCATGGTCTTGATCAAAGTTCGATCGGTGTCTGTTAAATCGAGTAGACCCTCGGAGGGAATTTGAAGCCTGTAACGTCAAAAATAAATGAACAAGCGTTAACCTACCTTGAGAGTTCAGACGGAAGAATGCCAAGAAGTCGGAACCTCCGGAGGAAAGGTGAAGTCGTCTCGCTGAGTTTCATCGCCTCGTTCTTAAACAAAGAAGGTTTTAAATTTCCAAACCTTTCTACAATTTTACTTAGACCGAGAAAATCAAAGAGCAAATTATTTACACACTTTCATTATTAAAAGGTTTGATTGAACTTGGTTTTAATGAATTTCCCAAGAATGGGAAAGATTTCCACGATTATGGATACAACAGTTCTATTGAAGGTCCTGGACGTGCCCAGCAGGCTTAGAATGCACAGCGGCACACACGTCATAAAATCAAGGAAACCTATCTTTACATAATTTGGTTTTGTATGCCACCTCGGTTATGTAATTTTATTTTATTACGGGGGTGGTTACCTTTCGTAATACCCACTTTATGTATGTTAAGCAGATGAAACGCAGAATGAGGACGAAAATACAGACACGGTCTCGAAGGGCCATCAAAAAGTTAATAAATTGGATTTTGTGTGTCCGTTTTGCCAAGAAGGTAACACATACCCAACTTACTTGAGGGCAAACTAGGGGACGTCGAATTTACACAAGTTAACCACAGAAATCAAGTAGACGGGGAGTTTCGTAAAAAATGATTCAAATGCAAGGCATTTCAAGTCTTGATAACAATGACTAAGCGATAAAAGAAGCCAAACAGAAACGCCTAAATCCACCGTTTTCATCGTATATTGCGCCCTTTAACCGGATGTCATCGATAATGGCATTCGCTTGCGCACAAGTCATTCCAACAAACGGCTACCTCGGTTGACAACACGGTGTAAGTAGATGCACCGTGGGAGCTGGTGCGCCGAACAAGAGCGATTCCGCTAATTGGAAGCGGAGTTCTACACCTAACTTAAACTACAGACAGGCGAGGCCGAAAACAGAGAAGGATATTTGAAGTCCGCCAGTAACTTTTCAGGCGCCCGGTCTAAGTACTTACGCCCAAGTCGGTGACTGTCTTCGTAGACTGCGAATAACTGGGCTAATAAAAGGCTCATTTCTGTGATAAAAAGTAAGACAGTATGTGCATTAGCGGGATATTTTTGCAGGAAGGGAAAAGGTGACGGACTTAGAAGACTCACTTGTGAACCATACTTATAATTCAAGTAGATACCAATCCCTACAGCGGTTGTTGTCGAAAAGATTGAAGTCAAGTCAAGTACCGTGTGGATCAGCGTCAACTAAGGCGTAGACGGGAAGTGCTGGATATCTGTCACACAGCATGCTCAGGAATGAACGAGTAGCGAGATCCGGGTAACCCTTGGCCTACCAGAAAATTAACTAAAGCATATTGAGAGATATACCGTCAAGAAAAGGCAAGGGCTGAAGTTCCTATATAAAGAACTGCTGATAATCTTTTGAAAGGTAGCGTCCTTTTCGATAACCAGTGCAAACGTTGCAGTGCAACCGATGTCTACTCGAAAAAGAGGAAAAGAAGACGATTGTTCAAACTTACCTGCTTCTTGAATTGGCGACGAAATTAAGCAGACTCCCTAAAGTTTAGATGAAGTGGAGAAGATAAGCAAATAGAAGTTAGTTGAATGGTTAATTCAACAAAAATGGCAGGTAATAAACGGTGGTATTTTTCCTCGTGCAAATGCCTTTGCACGCGTCAAGACAGATACTCAAGTAGTCATCGTGCGGAGGCCCACATAAATGTTTATTCAGACGAGGGGACGGCCCGTGACAGCACTGCACCGACTCGACATAACTATACAGCATGTTTATTTAACCCTACCTTTCCGATAATGAACCCAAGCATGTGTTGGAGAAGTCAGACAAATGTACCAATTCCTGTGACGGCCGTCAAATGAATTTCTGACATGCATACTTTGCTTCCGTCTTTTGATAAATTGCATAGTATACGAAAACGTTCAAAAGCTGAGGACGAATTAGAAGATGTAGAAGTCTGCCAGCAAACAGGCGCAGCATCTCCAAATAGGTCAACAATTGTTGAGTTTTATTTACTGTCTCTACCGTTATATGCGCTTCGAAACGAAGTCTCTCTGCTCACAGTACTCGAGCGCCGTTGGCTCTCTCTCAGCCGCAGTTTGTAACATCATACTATTCGCAGATGCACCACACTACTGCACTTGTTTTGATAAACAGACGTTGGTGTAAAACGGTTTCATAACTGATGCGGTTTTTAAGTAAATTTCTACATGGCACCTACTTTTTGATTTTAATGTATTCTAACATTATTCTATGATCTTGAGACGTTCATGCCACGCAAAAAAGATACACTATACTTCAAGCTCAGATTGCTCCCCTTTCAGGTCTTTTAAAACATTTAGCTGCCTACATTTAGAAGCTTGGCAGATAATGGCAACTGGATACCAGAAAACACTGAGACATTGTTGACGTTCACAGGGCAAGAGTTAATTTGCTGATAGATGACTGAAACAATACAGAGAAACATTGTAATTTCATACAGTAGCAAACTGCAAACTTTCACGACTTCAGGGGAAAAAGAATGCATAGGTAGGTAAAAAGACAATATTGGCTGAGGCTACAGATAATTAAGGCGATCTTTGTACTTTGTCGGCCAAAATATGTGAACGCTAACACGAACGAACACATTCGATCTTTGCGCGACCTAAAGACAAATTTCATCCACGGATCAGTAAGACTACCGAAAATCGGTTTATTAGTACTCTAAATAGATAAGTTTTTCGAGGCGAACGAGTATGTCATAACAGAGAACAAGGCACCCACATAATAAACCTGAAGTAAGGAACGACATCTCGCCCACGTTTGCCGATTCTAATCCGTCAGCTTTTTTCATTGTATGCTTGGTAGGCTTGATACCCAGTAAGTGGTCAACTGCCCATGGATTCGACTACCATGTTTTGCTATTTTGCTCTTGAAAACGAAATGTACCGATCCCCAGCCATTCTCGTGCAAAAATGTTTGTCAGCACATTTAGCCAGGGACGTATCATAAGAACGCTTGATAAATGTCAATACAAATGCACAGAATTGCTAATCGACCATGGACATCCCTGCCTAGTACGACGTCTGAAAACCGCGTTTGTGGTAAGTAGAATCCAGAGCAGTTCTTTTGAAACTGTAACTCCTAAAGACAACGTTTTGACTCAAATACGATTGAAAAACGATCAGAAATCCATGCATTCGCCATTATTCTCTGCGTATTTACTGACCAGAGGCTCCAAAATCACGGCAAATACTTTTTCCGGCATAACTTAACTATTAATGCCGCTAATCTCTTATGCAGTTTACGCTACTAAGGTAAATAAATTCCCAGCCCATGTCTTTTAATAGCAAAAACCTGTCAGATCCGACATTACTATTTAAAAGCCAGATCTCCCACTTCCACATATCAGCTGTAGTATTGACTAACTAAAATGAAATGAATAGCTAAGTTCTCGGTTTTAACGTTATCCGACGGACTTGCGTGCGCTTTGCACCCGCTTTTCAAAAATGGGGTTGCAAAGGTTCAGTTTTATTCAAGTGGTTTTACAAACAAAGAGGCGGTTAGTATTTATTAAATATAATTTTCTGGGTATCAACTGGTGCCCTAGAAGAAGTTTTGGAATATGTCCAGCACTTATCGAAGTGTACTAAATTTAACCAGCAATCAAATATCTGATAAACAAATAAATGACAGTGGGGAATCCAAAGTGGGCAAAATGAAACCTCCAAAGTTCCTCAAGTCAGTATCCAGAGAGAATAGTCAATATTCGCGTGAGAGTCCGAGTATAGTCTGCGACAGCCAAGCGAATTTGGCAAATTTTGGGGTGAAATGGACTTTTTTTATATCAGAGGGTTCGACAGTAGTTGTTCATTTCTAAATACGATTGTTGCATAAGTCACTTTATAGCCATGATGCAAACATTAATACGCCGCATGATCAATACAACAGTCAGTGGATTTGGCAGTTGTGTAGAAGTATGCAGACCTTGCTCAGATGGTTGTCTTTTTTATCTCTGGTACTGCTCTATTTGTTTAAAATGCATGGAAACATTTCCATAAGCGTACGGTTTTAAGAGTTACATAAAACGAAAGCGATTTGACTGTTCCTAGCGTATTTTAAAAGGTAATGATATTTTTGATTATTTGTGTGAATATGCAATATCCTTTCATAGTTTTATTTATAATGAATGGAATCCTTAAAAATATATATAATAGAAAACCTGACGATATTTCTTCTCCATGGTATTTTAATTTTTTTGGGAAAGTGCACTGAAAGAGCAAGTGAATAAAGTTCTGTTAAGAGAATTTAATGGGCCTGCTCCGGCATGCCTTACCGCAAGAAAGGCTCGTTCCTCCAGGATAATTTATAATTCCCTGTATATTGTCCAAACCTGCTTTGATAGTCCCAGGTTAAGAACGTTTTGGACAACATGCTATTACATATGGTCTTGTTGCTGTTTAATTAGAGAGGATCGGCACAACAGTCTAACCGTTATGTACTTGATACATCTGACATGTTTATAGCATGCGGCAGTTCATTACAATTGGTTATCTTCTGTATACAAGATGACCATTTTAACTGTCATGCCAGCTTTGCGTTCGATTCAAGCAAAAGCGGTTTAAACATCCCAGTAAATTGCATGATCTGGACAATGTGACGGCGCACTTCACTAACAGACATTCATGCCTTTGATTATCTTTTAATACTAACAAATGTTAGCCAAAAACTGGAGTCGGCTTCCCCGTAAATTAGAAAGGACTAGAAGCACTGCCTGTTAAATAAGACAACTTAACTAATAAAGTGAAGTAAAAATTTGCCAGATTCTTGTAGTTAAATTTGATGCTAGGGCAGTCGGGAAAAAAGATTTGGTAGGCCAATTTGTGCCATATCATTTCAAAATCCGACGAACGGTCAGTGTCTGTCCAAATTTCGTCCTGACAACTAAGGAGGCAACACTATGATGATCGCTTAAGCTATTGAAGGCGTAACATGCAACATCAACGGACTAACATACTAAGTTTAAAGCACATACCTTCTCTGAGGTCTTGAAGGAGAGTAAGTTTGTTGACGTTCTGATCTCTACGTCTCCAAAGACAATTGCTTTCGATGTTGCAACCTAACTGTAATAATAATTCAAGGAAATACCGTTTTAAAAGCGTTTCTGCAAACCCTGAATTGTTTACAGAATTTGGAAATGAGGTAGTCAACTTTGGCTTGGTTGCAAAAGACACGAGGATTTTCATAAAAGATTGCTCTTCGGTATAAAACATAATAACAAAGTTACCTTTTTGTTACAAACTCGTTTCTCAGTACATTCTCATACACAATTGATAAAAATAAAGTCACCTGTGCTATAAAAATATTGAGTAAAAGTCAAGTGCATACCAAATTTTTGCGGCCGGAAAGCGTATGACCGCAAAAGGTTTGACTTTTCTTCTAATGTTATTGAGTGTGTTCTTTTTGCTGTTGAAACCTTGACAATATGTAGAAGTACATCGAGTACAGACGACTCGATAAGCGATAAAACATCCATCTCTTAAAACGTGCGGTTGTTTTGTTTTAATGTTCCAAAGGTCTCATAAATACACAAAGTTTGTCTGTTGATTCACAAACTCCTGAACGTTCTATCTTTCAGCTGGAACTAATACACGTTCAAAGTCCGACTTGGTCTCCGGCGTGCATAAGTGAGGTGCACAAAATAAGGTTAGGGGTAGTAAAAATGTACATTTAATTGACAGTAGAAATGCATGTGAGAATCACTTCTGTAGGATGAAATATGAGGATTCTCGGAGATATCAGAGAGACATATGACCTCAAACTCATCGTCTAGCTGGCTTTTTACGGCTCAGGCCGAACAAATTTTCCGTAAATATAATCGTATTTACGGGAGCACTTCACACTTCATGTCTTCTGCCACTCAAGTGACTAATATCCATTTATGATGATTTTGCCTTTTAACGCTTTAAAAAGGAAGTCAGGAGAAATCGTAATAACTCGTTTCCTTAATAAATCAGCAACGACCTGGTGGCGCGTTTGCGGATTGAAGTGCAACTTTTGACCGGTACAATCTCAGAACAATCATTTGAGATCTCATGAACCCCCTCTATCGTAATTACAGTCAATTGCTTGATTTCTCCACTCGTTGATATCTTACTGACCATACCAGCATAAACCTAGAATGCGCATGCAAAGTCTGAATTTCAGCACGAGACCCGTTCCTCCCTCGATTTAGTAAAAACACAAAACCTAACCTATAGCCCCTCCATGTTGTTATTTCGTTGATGATTCCACTGATAATTCCCACTGCGAAGATGGCCTTCACGAACTTTAACGCTTTCTCCCGTTTCGTCCTTAAGCGAAATTTTGGCGGTCGCCATCGTTTTGTACGCTTCGCCATGCAGACTGTGGTTTCCCAGTGGCTGCATAAACTGCGTTGTAGGTTATGGTGGACTTCTCTCCATTTCAAAACTGGGTCCTGCAAGGTAACATTTTGAATCTCCGCATACTTTCGTGATAAAGCTGCCTAGTTTCGTTTACAATTATTCGCACCTCAACAACAGCGGCCTTTTTTAAAAAAATCTTGCCAATTGCATTCACTTTATACCTTTTTCGGCGAATAATTCTCAGCAACTTCAGCTCGCACTCTCACAGATAATTTTTCTCTGGTGCTCACTTTAATGTTTCGCGTCATTTTGGTGACACCAATAAGCGGTGTTCTAGAATAACAACCACAAATACTATGAGCGCGAATTGGCCTATGTACATACTGACAAATCATCCCTAAGATTTGTTTTAATCATTTTCTATTTTCGCTAGCTGTTTACGATCAGAGGTTCTGTAAAATGTTTAACATTATTATTTGTTGATTTATTAAAGGTCCGCGATCAGAATTGTTTCTGAGTTCCGGTCTGCGGTTGAAATATGCGTCCCCGATATCATTCGCATGACGGAGTCATGTCTGGACAAGGGATATCGAAAGAATCGCTGATTACTGCAACCCAAACTTTCTCACAATATAATTCATCAGTTAGCCGATGTGAGTGATGGTCGATACACATCATAACGACAGGTACTAAAGGAGTATTGGTTGAGCAAACAAATCATCCCCGAGCAATTCATGTTTTGATAAAATACAGACAAGGTCTAGCAAAAGTACCTTATTTGGACGCATTTACAACCCATGGCATTTCAGTCGTTATAACATGCGCCCCATTCATAGGGCAGAATAAATGGTACAGTTAACAACTTGGGGTATAGTAAAGGGCCTGGAATCAACTGGATTGAAGTTACGAGCCCTCCATAGCAAAAAACCTGCCGTATGCAATTAGATTTGACAGCGGAACGCCACCGGTCGATAAGCTCACACGGGGAAACGGCATTCATAAAATAATTATCATTAAAAGCCCGTGGTTTACCACGGCGCTACTTCAAGAAGTTTAAGTAGGGTTATGCTAACAGGATTCCAGTCAAAATTTGAGATGCAGAACAGAGATAACAAATCTCAAATGAATCCTTAAAAACTCACTAAGGATTTCATATTATGTCATGAGACTGAGGTCATTTCTTTCTAAACCCTTGGTTCACAAAAAGAAACCATTCCCTCCACACCCATCGAAACTGATTAAAAAGCGACATTACAGATGTTTTGAATATAACATAGAAGACTAAAACACGCGTTCTTGATTCGTCTGTTAGCAAACGCTTGACAAACCGAAGAATGGGATTTCGTTTGTTAAAATGACATCAAGAAATACGTGCCGCTAAGCATCGGGCAGTGAAAGCACTGGGGTCTTTCAAATGTTAATAGGAAACAGTCGCATGTCCGGATCCGAGTTATGACTACGGACACAGGGTGACTGATAAAGATCCATATGATCATGGCAAATTTATCCAGTAACTACATCTCAGCTGATAAAAAAGTCATATATGGTCCAATCTGTCAACGAACTACGCGGAAAACGCCATTCTAGCCAACAAAATACCATCCCTGATTTCCGGTCCAGAGGTGTTCCTATCTTTGCCTTAGACGAATGTAGAGACCTCATCATTCAACCATTTATGGGTGATTTATACAAATACTTTTATTTTGTCTCCCTATGTCAACATGCCTTCTTCAGAGTAACGCACCTCTGTGTTGGTTTTCGCGTAGAAACTTCATTTTGCGAGCATTTACGATATTCTTTGGCAAAATGTACTTTTTGCCGTTTTCGAACTATTCTGAATGTGTTTTGGCAGCTTGTTATCGGAGGTCGGGAGGTTAAAAGAGGACGTACAGAAGCGTTTTGCAAAATGCTTATCCATACGTGGTAGCTCCGATGGTTCCTACATAAGTTTGTGCCAGGATTTTAGTCGTAAACGCTTCTGAAACAGGAGACTAAACTGACATATCTTTCTTGTTTGCAGTCACCACTAACCGAGATTTATTTAAAATTAAAATGCTACTAAACCAGGGTAGCAGATTAATAATAACAATTATAAACTTCAAAAGTGTCATTATCAAAACGCCGTTTTCCTAGGTATGAATACATATAAAATGCCCTTCCAGATCATATCTAAAAGGGGGGGGGGCTGGAGGTTATGGCAGGTCACCTGTGTTACAATAAAGAATTAGGACAGAAATAGGAACTTATACCTCAAGATTTAGAAGACCAAGCTTTTATCTGGCTATAAACGGTAAAATAGGCAAATGCGCTGAACAGTCTCATTCACGTACACTTAATACAAGTGAGCGCTACTCCGGAAATACTTGCAACCTTAATTCTCTCTATTTGTTTTTCAGTGACATTATCAGTTTAAAATTACTTGAAAACACATATAGCCAGATTCTTAATTTGCATGCATCACAGCAGACCAGCAGACGAGTTGTCGAATTTACTAACTCAAACCAACCCTTAAGGGTATTCAAAGTTAACCGGCTGTCACATGAATGCATTTCATAATCTTGGAGTTTAGTAATCGGTACAGGCATTTCGCCCCTAATGCAGAGCATTTTCACAGTCATCGTTCCAGTGAGATGACATATAGTTAAGGCTAATGACCATAAAACACGTTTTTTAAAGTCAGTTAGCCTTAACAGCGGTGACCCTCTAACGAGGCGGACATCCGCGGACGGAGCTGATTCAGAAGTGCATGTGTAGGTTGTAGGTCAATGCGACTACAGGTTACATTGGCCCTAGTCAGCACGCCTAGGACGCATCGTGGGTGTGCTAACGTTGGTGGAGCGCGAGTGTTGTCAATGTAGGGGATCCGAGCCGCAAACTGTTCGTTGCTAGCCGCTACACGCTTTTGTCAGAAATTTCCATCCTCACCACAGCGTCGAGAGGGCAAACGACTCCTGCGGTCCCAGCCTAATGTCAGCCTGGCTCTATTTTTTTCATGAAAACCAGTGGACTCTGCATTTGGCTCGATACCCGTTCACATAAGGGGGACACGAATGGCGAACACACATAATGGACTCTGTCCAAGAATAGTTAAGATCCACCATCCTACCATTACCCGGCCCTCGCGTTTGAACCTAGCATTCATTTATACGGTCACGGATTAATACATGGGGATAATCGCTATATCGGCACTCATTATTTATGCAGCATTTGCCGAGGCCGTAGGCGAATTTAAATATAAACAAAATCTCGGCACTCTACTGCCAGCGATCTGCACTATGACGACGAGCGAGAAACACATATGCTTTTGCACTATATGAGGAAGGTATTTGCGATGGCAGAGCACACTTTTGCAGCTTGGTATATAAACCACCCATCCGTCAGAAGCCAGAATTGCCAGGTTGGAGCAGTTGATCAGACTCTATCAGACCACTGTCCCTGCACTCATAAATGCCAACACGTAAAAGGATCGTCTCACAAGCAAACTAGAAACAAGGTGTCCAGTCACAGAAAACACACACGCACGCACACACGACTGTCGTTTCCAACGTTGCCCACCATGTTCTCAACAGAAAGTCAAAGCAGGCACAAGGACTTACACGTGAATTAGTATAGAGTGAATGTTGAATTGCACAATATTCACCATATCCTTTTCCCCAACCTGGGCCCGGTTTCAAGACAGACTCAAGAAGACCAGAGGCGGGCGCGGGTGAATGGCACGTCGACCCGCACCTCGGCACTCCACTTCACATCCCCTGGCCCACATAGTAAATGACCAGGATTTTGACCAACAACAAGAAGGGATGGGGCGCGACAGGGGACCCAGTGGGCACGAGGTCTGCCGGTTACCGGGTCTACCACCGCATCCCAAAATGTTGGCATTTCTAATGGTGCACATTCCGATAACGCCTATCACTATCTGATGTGGCCGTCATTCTGACACGAAGGCCGTCATTCTGACAGCCTAACCGATGCAAACGCGCCAACTCCTGATGCTGCTCGAACCAGTGGCCGCTGTCTAGAAATCTATTACACTAACTGTCAGAGTCTTCTCAACAAGCTAGATGAACTCAGATTACTAGTCTCTGAACAGAAGCCACACATAATTGTCCTAACAGAGACATAGTTGACTGAG